AGCGGGAGGGGAGTATGCAAGAAGCACCTTCAGCCAGTTTTGGAAGAGCCACTGTCATATAACCCCGAATCAGTCTTGAAAAAAATTACTTTTGTTTTTCCACTGTCAAGTAAAAGCTAATAAAGCACCACTGGGTCACTTGTTTTGCTTGGTCTGCATAGACAGCCACATGGACTCATGGATCAATCTAATTTATCAATATTCAGCATGACATTTTAAAATCACCAGGATATGCTATGTTGAGCTATAAGCACAGAGGAAAATAATTTACACAGTATAATTAAAATGCAGATGTACCTTTTCAACATTAAAGTCTGAGTAAGCATTTGTGTCAGCTCATTAGGTCCAAAGTCTTTCAAATTGCGAAGGAAACTGTGAGTGCTTAGATAGATATTGTTTGTTTTCCCACTCTGAGTCTGACAAGTTAATTCTCCATTATACAACAACAAAGGTTTATGGGAAAAGGGGACTTCCGTGCCACCTGCCAAAATAATCTTTGATCCTAGATTCAAAGATCAGGAAGAAAAGAAGACATCAGTTAAAAAAATCCCTACATGGTAAAAAGTGTAGCAAGGAATCACAGCTGAAATGATGTAGATTTGCAGGTCATTAATTCAAGGTCTCTAATTCTGGCAGTGACCATCTACTCCACAGCACGTATTTTCAGTAAAGTAAATATACATAACTTAAATCTTCTAAACCAGTAAGGTCATTTTCCAAATGTTTGTAGGTAAATTTCTTAATGTTTCTCTGTCACAAATACAGAAATTGCTATGATTACAATTTTGCTTAACAGTGTAAGTGAATACAAGTTTTGTCACCCTGACCCTAAGATTTTCTCATGAAAATTTCAAAATACAATTGAAGCACAATGTGTGAATTTCAGACAAAAGATTACAATAGGAAGAAGCTTAGGGAGTTAAGACCAAAATGCCTTGTTGGAGCTTTACACAGAAACCTAGAAAGCAACTAGTTTTCTATTCATCAGTTGCACTTCAAAACTTCTGTAGTACTATTTATTTTTATATGCAGTTACGAAAATATTTAAGACAAAAGAAGACTCAGAACATGTTTTACTTTATTAACTAAAATAGTGAATAAGTTTTTAAAAGCACTTACAGTACCTTGAATGGCATCCTTATGAAAAACATAAGTGTACACTTTATCATCATCAAAAGCAACAAAAACACCTTTATCCATTGGCCAGTTTTCCCACAGGATTCCTTTAATAGTTGGTGAGAAGTTTGGAATCTCATATAATCTATCATTTACCTAACAAATAATACAAAAGTAAAATTACTAGCAAGTGACTAAAGAGACAAACTAAATATTCATCCCAGATATGATTAAAAATAAAAAAAGAATCTAAACAGTGCAGAAATATGAAAATTGTATTAAGAAAAAGTTTTCTTACAAGCAGTGACACTGAATAACAGTAGTTTAGTTCAGAAGGGAAGCAAATGGAGAAAATGCACATTATATGAATGTTATTTACTTTTCTTAGAAAAAACGTATGGGGACAGGCAGTGAAACTGGCAGTGCTTGTTAACAGGCTAAAATATCTGTATTTGAATACACAAACACATATGTTGCTGAAAATTACTGATCAGGAATTTAGTATAATGAAATTGTCCTGATCTAATATGACAGATTTTATTTCTTTACATTACTGTTAAGTTATCTTCAAGCCTCCTTGGCAATTTCTTCTACAGGCATACATGTTGGAGTGACAAAAGCTTCTTCATTCTCTATTAAAACCACTATATAGTTGAAGAGCCTGCTTGTAAATATAATTGTATGGGTATCCCGCACTAACTTACTGGACAATAGACAAAGCCATCACTTTTGTCATCTATGAAAGCCAATCTGGTTCCATTGGGATCTGGAAAAATTTTTCTCACACTGACAGGATGCCGATATTCATTCACATATTGCCAGTCTTCAATGTAGAAATAATGAAGAACTCCAGTCTAATGAGAAACAACAGAAAAAGCTAATAATGACCTCAGTAAGTGGCAAGTAGATAATTAACCTCGTTGCAGTTTCTCCCATCTTAGAGTGCTGAGATGAAAAGTGTTTAAAGAAAAATACTTCCAGGTGTTTTTTTGGCTTCCTTCTTCATTCACAGCCAGTTTTGGGCAGGATAGGAAAACTTGAGGCTTTTTGGGGGGCGGGGAAAGGAGTTGGAGGTCTGAGGGGTTTTCTGCTTTTTTTGTTGTCTACCTCGCTCTGCTTTGTGGAGACAAGCTGTATTTATTGTGCCGTTCTCTAAACAGGGGAACTACCCGCCTCATTGCTGAGAGAAGCCTAACCTTCAAACAAAGCTGAAAAATTTGCCTCCAAGGAAGAACCACACATTCTTAAGAATACATGTACCTAATTCAGGGGAGAAACGCAATCAAACTGATTCGTGATTAACGCTATATTTCAATCAGTGTTGCATAAAGCAGAACACAAAGTAAAAGGCGGCTTTTGAAGTCAATTTTACAAATTTGCACACATCAAATTCATCAGTTGCGAATTTAGTACTTCAAATTTATCAGTACCAGTTTAGGTACTGAGGAGGTGGGAAAGCCCTCAACTGCTGCAAAACCACTCAAGTTATTAAACCAGTGATAACACCAGAGATAGTGATTCTGCCTTTCCTCTGGAAGATCAGTACATCAGTCTGTGTCACAAAGAGCACAATACTACAATGCCAAATGTGCCCTGTATTCCCAGTGCCAGAAAATACTAAAGGGAAAGTACCCCTCATGCATAGGAAAATCTCCGGACAGAGCCATTGTAAGCATGTTCACATCCTTCTTCAGTGCCCTCCTAATTCCTATCTTTGCTGAAACACCTAAAAAAAATTCTCTTTGGGCAAAGGCTTCAATAGTAAGTCACGACTTCAATTTATGCTATCAACTTGTTTACCTCAGTCCCTTTTTGTCCACATCTATCACATCACCACCTGAATCAACAAATTTGCAAGGAAAGTGCTATTTTTTTCTTATATCTGGAAGAAAGTTTGATTGCCAACCCTTTCACTAATGCAATAGAACTAAATTCTGCTATTAAAATCAGTGTTTTGCAACAAACACTAGTAAAAGCAAAACTTAACCTTCCTGCCAATCCATCTCATAAAAATGGAACAGTAAAGGAAGTTGGATGCAATTTTGACTGCATTTGCATAGAAAATAATCCATTGTAAAATTCTCAGAAGCACAATTTTTTTGCCAAAAGTATGAGTAATAATCCAAATAATTCAGATAGAAATATATTCCATCTAAAAAGATCTTTAAAAACAGAAGTAATACTCACATCTGTACCATATATGAGGAAGTCACTAGTTAAAGCATGGCACAAAATTCGGTATTTATCATCATCTGCTGGGAAGAGTCGAGTTTCTCGTTCTTCCTGAGCATCCAATCCTTCACTTTCTATCTAAATATAAAGAATAGAATGAACCGAAAAACTCCACTGTTAACAATGAGGTGTCATAGTTTTGCCTGTATCAAACTGTAAGGAAATGAGATGAAAACAAACTTGCATGTGCATCCCCTAAAAACCCAGCATCTGCTTCTGCCACATTCCCACAGAGACTTTTAAAATAAAACTTGTTAAATAGTTCACAAGAAAACACTTTCTCTTCACGTGTTCTAGACTAGGTTGTATTTAGTCTAAAGTCTACAGGAACTCAGCTTTATATTTTAATTAGCCAGCAAAAAAAATCTGAAAAATTTTTATCTCCGTTAACTGAAGATCACTCCATTTTCTCCCATTTTTAAAATTACATTAACTTGTTCGGCTTAAATCAACTCATTAGTTCAGCACTCCAAATTGCCAGAGCTCTTACCATATGCAACTGGACTTTACCCTCAAAGAGAGCAGCAGCATAATCGGAATTAAGGTGCATACTTGCTACTGTCCCCAGGTACTCCACATCTTTAAGCTTTTTTACATCTAAAGAATTCAAACAGAAAAGAAAAGGTAAAAATATTTTGATTTTGTATAGGTCTTCACTTATCATCATCTAAATTTGCAGCTGAGTAACCAGACGTGAAAAACACAACTAAGCAGAAAGGGGACAAGTCACATGTAAAGAGACTTTCTTCTTAGCAGTCAGAGAACTGGTTAGAAAGTACAAGGGAAACTCTTTTCCTATGCAACTCTGACTAGTATTCATACAGTTTTGATTAATTTATTATTAGTCAAAAAAGCTGATGCTTAGAGAGACATGAAAGCTTTAAATCCACTGTCTAAAATTTGGACATAGCATAACCAATTTTACCTCACCCCATGCAAACAACATGAACATCAACCAAACTGAGAATTTAAATCCTCTGATCATACAGTCCCTAGGTACTTTGTCAAACTTAGTATTTAAAGACACAGTCAAGTAACATCTCAAAAGCCTGAAAGTCCTTTATTGGTTAACAACACGATCTGAAAAAAAACAAAAAAGAAACATTCTACATTTCATTACCAATACCTTGCACCTGAAGTTTTATTTCTATTATTTACAATGCCTTGTCATAACTGCTTCAGTTTGTGAAGATCATTATCCGGTCCTAACAGGACCATATGGCAATTCAAGTTGTTACTGTACAATGTGGAATGTCCAGAACTGCTAAACACAATACCGAATTCATAAAATAAGATACAATGATGCAGCAGTTTTAAGAGAACTAAATTTATGCTTACTATTCTCTCCAAGTGCATAAAACCAAGCCCGATTGTTCATTCCTACAGCCAAATGATAAACACCAATAGCAACAAAACTGGGCTCTACTTCAACAGAGACCGTGACCGGTAGCTCCTGTAAGAAAACAAAACAAGATAAAACAATTTTCACTCACTATTAATACTTACTTTACTTATATCTAAATGAAGTTTAAAAGGAAGAGGTTATCATACTCTCTCCACATGATTGGCTATAGTAACTTCAAGAAGAGAAGTGAGGTATGCAATCCGTGTACTACAAGCATCTCCAAGGATTGGAAGCTTTGTCAAGAAAACATGGAGGGATCCTCTTCGTGTAGATACTGCCAACAACTGTCCATCATCTGTCCAAGCCAGCTGATCTACACCTAAAACATTCACAAGTTTTTGCAAAAGAACAAAAAAAAAAAAAAATCCTTTCTTTAACCACTGAAACCGAGAAACAATTCTTTTGCTTTGAAATGTGAAAATGGTAGGAATTCATACCTAGGAATATATGTACTAATGTACTCAAACGTAACCGATTAATATAATTCCAAGATTAACTGGACTCACTCAAACCAAACCCATAATTTACTAATTTAGCACTTTCCTAAGAGTGAAGACTTGACAATAACTGAAGTATTGACAGACACTACAAGAGGAGGCAATGGTGGTAACTCATTACCCAAGAACATAGTCTTGTAACAATGTTCCGGAAGCCACAGGCACAAATCCTGTATACCAGGATGAGAACAGATTAAGTATCATATGTCAGTACAAGAGATGCTGAAGACCACAAAAAACCCCACCAAAAAAAACATGGAAAGAAGCAGAAAACAGTTAAGTATATTATTTTAGTCATCTGAATATATTGTATTACAGATTCAAAAAACCAAACCACTAACTGATCAAATATTCTGAGAGCTGTACTTCTCTATACTTTGAACAGATAAAATAAAATATGTTCCCATTTTGCTACAGGTCACCTAATAAATACAAGTTTGGAAAGAAGGAATTTATGATAAATTCTATATTTACAAATTTTCCAACAACAGTACTTCACTCATGTAAACAGAGTCACCATCAAAATTATGTTTTACTTAATCTTTAAAAATTTCTATCCTCATGGAGACTGTTAACATACCTTTGTTTTCATCATCCAAGTTTATTATGGCATACATTTCTCTCAGGTCTGACAGATCATGGATTTTAATGCTAAAACAAAAATAAACAGTCATTCTCACTAATATACATCTCAGTCATCATAAACTGGAAGAAACCCAACCCAATCAAGACAGCCTAATGGAGCAAAAAATAGAGCACAAACGCAAAATGCCTTCTGTTTCCTAAAGAGCAACAAACACTCATTGTTATCCATCACTCTAAATAGTATATCACTATCACTGTACAAGAAGATTTGCTCAGAGAACTAAAATTTGAGGAAAAGGCACAAATGCAATTCGAAAGAACTCAGGGGTGGGAAACACACAATTAGTCCCTTTTGACCTGTTACAGTACAGGTTAGGGTAAAAAAACATTCCTGACGGACAAACACTGCTTGAAACACAGATGCAAAAAACTAGCTTTCAGTCCTACTTCACACAAAAAGGGACAGAATGATGGTTTACTTATGCTGTCATGTTACTCAATAATATGCTCAAGAACCCCTTAAAGAAATAATACTTATTGCACAATAGCTGAAGTGCTTGAAGTTGCATCATGTTTTGCTCATAGTTATACCACTCTTGATTTGCAAGTGTCATAATCAGCTGTCTGTTAAGGTCATACACAGAACTGAGGACAGACAGAACGGTATGACTCCTACCATCACTCAGCTCCTTTTTCGCTGAAGAATTCAGGTATCACAGAATCAGGGAGTAGCAGACGAGGAGCTAAAGGACATACTCTATCACATGCACAACGTATTTTGGAAAAACTCCAGTCTCTTTAACTATTTTTTCCTTAATTGCTTACACATTTATACTTCTGTCTAGATTGCAGGTAAGACCAAACACCAGGGAGGAGGGTATCAGCATACTCAGTACAGCTTTAAGTGAATTGTTCTCCTATTGCTAAGCAGATGTTTATGTCCAATCAATACATCATAGTAAAGAAATTTGGACATTTTTGTAGCCAAGTAACACAGTAGAAAAAGAAAGAATCAAAAGGAATAACCTATACTAAAATTTAATTTTTTTTTTTGTTTACAATTAATTACAATAGAGTTAATTACAATTGCAGAGATTTTGGTCAAAATTAGCTTCTCCTAACTTTAGGCAGAGAGGCAGTTCCACAGAGCAATTCATCTCACCTTCTCTGCATTGACTTCTTCAGGAGCCTTGAAGCCTTAGGGAGCCTAGCTTTAATGCCTAACAGCTACAGTTGTGTGAGATGAATTCCATTCTTTATGTATAAACTACCACTTACCAATTGTCTCCACATGATGCAGCTTTGTTTAATGACTGTGATATAGCAATGCTGCTTAGATTATCCTTATGATTATGAGCTTGAAAGATTTCTTGACCTATCTCACGAATGTGTGTAGAAATGACTACAAAACACCCTCGTGAGAAACCAATCATAATGTAGCCGTCACCATACCTGTTACAAAAAAAACAACAATTAAGAAAGAGACCTATTTATGCAATATGCAAAATGCATTTTCTTTCAGACTACTGGGGTAACTGTCAATGCCTCCATTTAATAGGAAAAATAATTGAATTATGGGAATTTATATATATAATGTAGAACAACATAGTATAAAATAGATTAAGGGAAAAACAACCAAAGATTCTTGAAGGACAAAACCATTTTTGTGCCCAGAATTCACTCATAAGTCGTCTTTATTCTCTCTTCTACATTCTATAATGCCACTTCACTTTCAGCAAGCTGCATACATGGCAGTGATGCCAGGAGAAACATCTCTGGTATCTTCATTGGAATAAGCATGCCAGAAGATGGAAACTTCCATTTCAAGGTACTGGCTGACTTGGTCACATCAAAGCTATGCTAAAAATAATAATGCCAGTCACTGTGCCCTCAAGGCATACTACTGCAAACACAGTGGAAGTACCAAAGCTACAATCTGTATTTGTGAATAGATAGTGTGTTTACTTTTCACAGTGTCAAGTAGAAATAACGAGGTTAAGGCAGAAATAGTTACAGCATGTAAGGACGAATGCAAACAATATCTGATCAGTTTAGTTGCAAAAAAATCGTTGCAAGGGAAACAGCCCAGGTATGCCTTGTTAGACATGTGGCCATAAATTAGGAAGCATACAGCTACCAGTTTTCTTACACAGTTGTAGTGTAAAGGGAAAAATGTCAATTCCACGTTGACTGAACATGCATTAAAAGACATGGTGTCATGATTCAAAGATACAGAAACAGTACAGCTACTTTTTGGGTACAGAGTTGAAACTTCTAGCTCGGGATTTCTTCAAAGGAACATCACCATTTAGATTACATAGCAGGAAGGCTACAAGAACTTTGCATAACTTTGTAAACCAACAAACTAGCTGAAGGATACAACTCCACCCCTAGCTCTTTCATCAGTTACTCATCCAAACAGAAAACAACCTATAAAACCCTCAGTTTAATCTACTGTCAGGACAGCAACAGTATTAGTGTTCTAAAGCTGAGCATACCAACAGCGATTATATTTGAAAATACTGCTTTTATAGCCATTGAATTGTCAAGTAAAACAATTACAAAATGTAGACCTTGTGTTTGGAAAAAAATTATTAAAAAGGCTACAACACATCCAAGAAAGATGCAGTGTAAGCAAGGGATATATGATTTCATTTCCAGCATTTATCAGAACTACTGGGAAAATCTTCAGCTTGTTAATACTAGAATGCTCATTAAGAAAGTTCTGCTCACCATCTGTAGGTTACAATACTGCCATAAGGCTGCTGAAATTTCAGATCAATCGGGTTATCAGGATCATTCAAATTAAAAAGAAAGAGAGTCTTCTTGCCGACCACTACACTTACCTGCCAATGAATGAAAAGAAAAATTAACTTGATAAGAATGGCATCACTTTAAAGTAAGGCCCTATATCTTCACTAAAAGATGAGATTTAGGACTTTCACTAATCCCTAAGAATCCTATGGATCTGAATTCTGAATCTTTATCAACAGTGGAAGACATTTTCAGGATATTTCCCTTGTGACCCAGTGGTTCACAGATCTAAATGCAAGCCCAGCAGAACACACATCTCAAATTCAAGACTTTTCCCTAAAGAAGCATTAAGTCAGCTCCATTTCCTCAGAGGAAAAGGCAGCAGGTCACATGGAGTTACCCTGTTGGACTACTCTCACTTGAACTATGATGTGTTTTTTGATCCACAGAATTTTTATCTGGGAGGTGGAAGGGAAGACTAACACAACACTGCTATCTCAAGTAACTTGCTGAGATTTTAAAGACAGAAAAACAATTCCAAAAGAAACAGCCTGTTCAGTGTGTATTAAACATGCAGTGTTTACAGTTTGGTATCAGTCTAGGTGAGTGCATTTTATCTGATGAATCCCATAGAGATGTTGGACTTCATAGTGGAAAACAGGTTGAACTTTGGGGGTTTTTTAAAGATTATTTTTGTTACTAGAGTGTATGCTATTGTCAAGCAAGAGTAAACCACTCATTTTAGAAAAAGCAAGGAGGAGCAGCTTGTTTCACCTTATTCTCTGATAAAGGTACTTTGAAGGGCTACTTAAAAGTTTAATTTACATTACCTTCTGTTCCAACTCTCCTTGTCTAAAAAGGAGAGAATGGTTTATTCCTAAAATAAGAGCTGGAAGAATGAAATACAAAGCTGGTATTTTCAAACTGAGGAAAAAAAAGGCATATGTTGACCTAAAAATCCATTAATCCAGAATTACAAATTCAAATTCTGACCTATAATTCCTAAAGTTACCCCAAATATAAAAAGTATGTTTTCTGCCTTTTAAAACAGTTTGCTTATAATTCCATTGCAGCTTAATGATGAAATACTTCAGAAATACTATTTCTTAAACTTTTCTAAGAAATTACAGGAATTATTTTATGTTGCAGGGCAAGATGTTAACTCTAGTACTACTTATTTTGATCCAACTTGGCAGGTTGGTGTTTTTTTTTTCTGATGTCATAACTAACAGCCTGGAAGTGACTGTTATCAAGCCAAGCCCCCCGCCCCCAACAACAGACACCTAGACATTAAATGCTATGTGGCTTAGAGCTGCTCACAGACCATCCAAGCACAAACACCAGGAACTACAGAATTACAGAATGTTCCCTAACATTTTACAGCAAACTTGAGAGCTGTAATAAAAAACCTGCAAAGCCTAGGCTATCGCATGCCCCAGGAAACAGCAGAAGAAATCAAGGCTGATGTCCTCAGTTCCCAGATTTTCAAAATATCTGTTAATTAAATTTCCCTAGGAAGCAGAAAACATTTCACTCCATGCAGAGAGGCAAAAAACTCCTACAGGTCCTTGTCAATGTAAACATGGGGAAAAATTCCTTCCTGACACCCATACTCCATAGATTAAATCTGACTGTGAGAATTTAACTATGTTGTATAAGTGTATAAGTCTGGCCAAATTCTAACACAGTACCACTTTTCTATCCATGGATTTTCTATGTCTTGTCTTGGTACTTCATTGCTGATCATTTAATAATATGCTCTGCTAATAGTTATCATTACCCCATTTTTCTGTACTTCACCATTGACCGATCTGATGGACTTTGATTCATTCAAGAAAGACAATGAAGACAATGAAACTGTAGCCATTTAGACAGAGATAATGCTCACACCAAAAGACTTACACCGGGGTTTTTAGTCTCTTTGATGCTGAGATTTGCATAATATGAAAACCTAGAGAGCAGTGATCTGTTCTCAAAACTGGCAGCTGAAAATCTGCCCTCTGAGAGGCAGCATCTCTGCAATTTTGACAATTCTGCTTCATTTCCACTGCCACGTTGCATATACTATTGTATATTTGTATTGTATGTATTTCTTTAAGTCCCTGCACACATCTCCATCTATTATGTTAACTACCACTGCAAACTGCTCTGTTATCTGTCATATTGCTAACCACTGCACTTTTCATGAACACATCCTTAATGAACAATGGGGTATGGCTTTACTTTAAAGGAAAATTTTGGAAAAGAAAAAAGAAAAATCTTCAACACCAAATTTTAAGTCAAGGAGGAACAAATTGCTTCCCAGCCCATACCAGTTACCAGCGGAAACCCTGAAACATCAGATTAACACTTTTCGCAGTATTTTGTATTGACTTCTTACTGTGCTTTCCCTGGTTGATATTCTTTCATCAGTCTTCATAACTGAGAACTGCATATCACTGGGATCTGAGCTCACTGAGGTCTGCAAGAAAGACATTCAGATTGAGAAATCAACAGTTAGTGTAGCAAGTGCTGATAAATAATTGCATTATTCCTGCCCTGTACATTTTAGTGGTAAGGATAGATAGATACAGTTGCTATTGCATTTAGTACCAAAACTAAGAAAAAAGTTGGAGAAAACATGACCTCAGTTTGGATCACAATGACATGTTATCACGGAATATACTGAAAAAATATCTAGGAAACAGTTAGAAATACAAATCCAAATAAAGAAGGAAAGATCCAGATGAGGAAGACAACTTGCAAGATGATATTATACAGACAGTATTAACTGAAGCAGTACAAACAAGGTCACTCCAATGCAAATTCAAAGAAGGAAGATCAAGAATAAGGCATACAGGTTAAATATTTACAATGCATTTTAATACGGACATACCTGATCTGGTTTAGGAAGTGATAGCAATCTAGTTGCTTTTGTAGTCAATATGAGGTTACAAAACCTCATAAGCAAGCCTTGCTTAGGTCTCTGCTGTCTCAGCTACACTGCTTCTACTACCTAAGCCAGCTAGTTTAAAGCACAGACATACCCTAAAAAATTTATTAGGGTATTCTTCTCCAGTTGTGATCTTCAGACATAAAGATGGAAGCATATGAAATGAACTATGAAAGATTTGTTCTTTGAAAATCTTGAGTGAAACACTGTTCACTAAAGTTAAAAAAGTGAATTATACTCATTTGCATACTATGCAGCAACTGTCATTGCTCGAAAGGACTGTGATCTATGTAAACAAACGGAATGCTTGATCAGAGAATCTGAGTATACTTGGAGGAAGCACTGGATTCAGCCTCTCAACAGTGCAATGGAGGTCCAGCCTAGGAGTAATCCTTGCATATCAGAGGCAAGATCTTTGTTTAACCAATCTAAAGCAAAACCAACACGAAAAGTACTTCCTAAAGACCTTAAAAACAGTCATGTGAGAGCTGTCCAGTGCTGCTAATGGGGAAGTCAACCTAAGACTGCACTCATAGGATCCTCTTGTAACAGATACAGATCAGGATCAAGAATAAGAGAAGCATATTTAGGCAGGACCACAGCAGAATTGCAGAGACTCTAATATCATAAATCACGTTGCATAACACAGAAGCTCAGATGTTTAGATATGCCCTCATCCTACATGAGGTTTCCCAAAGGCTCCTTGTCCTTGAAAGCAGTGGGATTGAAAAGGCATAAGCTCCCATAGGGCCCAGCTTTCTTGGGAATCAGGACTGTTAATGTATGCCTTAAAATTAAACGGGGGTTATAAATACTACCTGTCTTATAGTATCCCCTTCCTGATTGCTTATAGTAATCATTTTGTCTTCACCACCTAGAGCCAGAAGGTTTTCAGTACTCCAACAACCACAAGTAATCCGCTTAGTGTGCTTACCTGAAAAAGAAAGAAACCTGTACAACACAAATGAACACAACCACAAAAAAATATCTGGGATGGAAATACGCTCTATTTAGCCACTCAAACAGAGATTGTCAGAATGTGAAACAACTTGTCAGAGCAATTACAAATTCAAGAGTAATTTTTTTTTTAAATCTTCTACTCTCAGATGGAAGCCTTTCGACCTCATAGGAACTTGCACAGCCCCTGTTCTTCCATTTCTTTGCATCAAATTTCTGGGGACTGTGCTATATCCTTAACCTTTCTGCCCAAAGGTACTCTAAGCAGGTAAGAAAAAGTGACTTAGCAACAAGAACAACCACACAAATCCTTTGCAAGAAAGATAACACAAGTTTCCCATGAGACAGCATCAGGCATATGTATATATATTTTTAACTTACTATACTATAAAAATACTCTGGTAAGCACAACAAAATAGAAGGTGCAAGTTGAGTATGAGCACATTTTTTACTTGCATGTTCATATACAGAACTAAAAAGGAATCTAAGTATATTAGCAAAATTCTATTTTCACATGTGCAAGCTTAGTTTCAAACCAATGCATACCAAGAACAGGAATTTTGCGAGAAGTCTGACGGTTATATATAAGTAAGTTTCCCTTCGTTGTTCCAACAGCAAGTAAAGTTCCAACTCGAGACCATAATAAGAAAGACATTGCATCCCTAAAATAAAGAAAAATTTTACTTTGTAGAGATTCCTTTCATGTGCTTACATATAAAAACGTCTTGCATATTTGTTTTGAAGTTCTATGAAATCACAGAGACCAAGCAGAATTTTTAAATTAAAAATATATTCTCTACAACAAGTATCAGAATTATCTAAGTGTGCACAAAATAGTGAAAGTAATAAAAATTTGTTTGACATAATGTAATAAGACTTGTACAAAAGGAAACGTGTCTGCAAACATCAACAGTCTTTGATGGAATCATGGGTAATTTGGCCAAATACACAGCTTTAAAAAACACTCAAAGATACCATGAAGGTACGTGAAATTTTCCAGTCACTTTCTGCATTGGTTTTTTGTACTTCAATAATCCTATGAATTCAGCCAAGTGAATAGGTCTAGTTCTAGTCAATGTAATAAGAAAGTTAGAAAGAGCCATTTTAACTTGAAGTTTCAGATACAGCAAGGCCTATTTTGGTGCACATTTAAGGGTACACAGATAAATACTATACGCTACATTAAAAAAAAAAGCCTCTTAAGCAAAACAATTTTAATCAGAATTTTCGAATTACTGCAGTTATTTCCATCAATGCCTCTCCCATCTTTTTAAATTTTACTGTAAGCATGCATTAGCAATTTGAAACAAATTTCAGGTTCAGTTGACACATGAAACAACCTCCAATATATATCGTTTGCATGTGAGGGGTTTTGTTTGTGCTTTTCTAATTTCAAAAAGAGGAGGATACCAGAAAAGCCTGATTATCACACCGTTTATATGTCTTAGTGCTTATTCTGCTTAAGCAGTAACACTGTGGCAAAAGAAGGATTAGGCACTTAAATTGATATATACTGTTCTAGCGAGACTGCCTCCAGTAAGCAATTTACCTCAGATATTAGAGAAAGATCATGAAGGATCTGCAATAACTGCATACTCCATTCTGATAAGTACCTTCTATGCTCTTTTTTGCTTACATACTGGCAAGTTACTCTTCCCCCCCCAAATATTTGTTCACACATGAAAAGGAGGTACAGTATGGTCTAGTCCTTCACACAATATAACATGTATATACATCTTCATAAATATAACATGTATATACATCTTCATAAATTGCTTTGATTATATAAATAGCTATAGTTTAACACTGACCTATCAAAAAACCCCGAACACCTATTTGGGAAAACTTAACAAAAAAAAAAAAAAAATTAATGCCAAAGTTGATGTATTCCACCAGAAAAGAAGATTATAAAGAATAATCATTATAACATCTGTGCTAAAAAGGCATATTGTTGATAATATGTAATAACTAATAAATAATGACAAAAACATAATGACTAAGAAATAACTGAGTAATCCACAAGATGCCTATATAATGCTACATATAATTAATTAGACAGTAGGAAGAAGTAATCACTAAATTTCTCATTTGTATGTACAATCATTTGCTTGTTTTGAAACCGTTTTCTAACATGTGACAACATTCTACTGACAAATAGTCTTCAAAACATAACTTCATTAAATCACGTATAGGTTAAGTCACTGTATTTTGTGCAAAGTGGCAATTCTTACACTTTTTCAGGAGTGGAATAACTTGTATAGAAGTTATTTATTGTTTCAGTACAGTTTAAGTTCAGTTTGAATGTACACATATAGGATAGCAGGCTGTAACATATGGAAATATCCCATAATCAAATATCGAATATTCCAAATTATTTTCACAAAGCATAAGTGTACATCTTAATGGAAATATGGAATATTTCCGTATTCCAGACATGGAGTTTTCAACCTAAATCTGGAAAAAACCCACCCTCATAGACACCAACATAATCCCCACCCCCCAATTTTTCCAGCTGAACTGGATTTTTCTGATTTAATGGATAAAACACTCGAATTTCAGTATCTTTGACTACCTAAAAAAACCCCCAAACCCAAACAATAAAAACATACACAAAGGAGATTAAGAAATGAAGGGTTAAATCAGAAGGAATGTTTGTCTCAACTCAAGTAAATAAAATAGCAGCAGTATCCAAAATTAGCTGTTTCTCTGCTCAGGGAGTGCCCTAACAAACATGGGACAGATTAGTTTCCACTCTCGTTTCTACAAACAGAATATTTATGTAGAGTACAACAGTTTAGTGGAATAGATTCAAAGAAGCTAAAAGTTTAATTGTTAAACCAAGCTTATTTGTTAACCCAATGCCTGATTGTTATGTAGGCCTCAGGAGAATTTTAAGACTGTGGCCAAATTCAGAAAGGTAGGGATTTGAACCTTAGAGTAGGATCGCCTTAGATATCTCCTCCCATCCTAAACCAGTCTGCTTTGTGAATAGCATTTTAGTCCCCTTATAAATCTAAGGGGAAAAAATCCTAGCACCACTAAAATCACTTCCCTTACTTTTAAGCTCCCTTTTACTTGTGTGAAATACTTTGGAAAAAGCGTAGCCAGTGCAGATACACAAAAAATTCACCCATCCTTGTTGCTACCACAAAGTGGAAACATTAACGACAAGCTCTCTGGGGACTTTGGCACTGTTGACAATTAAAAAAGAAACAAAACCCATACCAGCCCCCAAACCCCCACCCACAACAAACACTTCAAAACCAGCAAATCATACCAAAAAGAATTTAGCAACAAACTGTAGCGTATTAGTTTAACGGTATACGTGCTATGAGGACTCCAATAAAAAGATGATCTTTGCAATATACTCTCCACATCAATAAGCCACAGTGGTCCAAGTCTTCAAATACACACTTTAAAAAAAACCTTGCTTACCTCATGCCACTGTCTACTTGGCTTGTTCTGTTTGTGTTCGCATCCCACAGAAATATGGCACTAGATTTGTCTGTGATTATTGCTAAAGTATCTCCATCCTTATCCCAGTCCATGGCAACGCAGTTACTGAAGAAAAAAAACCCAGACTTTCACTAATGTTAAAATGTTTGTAAGTATACAGAAACAGCCAGAATTATTCAGTTGAAGGCTCTGTCCTTCCTTTTCCCTCCCAAGCAAACCCATGACAGATTGCAGATTTATCTGTAAAGTGTACTTCTATAGCAACCACACCCTTACTCAAATGTCTTCAAAATGACAGAGGCTGAAAGGAAGGTCATAAAAAAGAGACTGCTACCTACATTCTAGTACTTGAAATACTAGATTCACTTTGATTTTCAAGGGACAGTGACTTTTCTTTCTAGATAAATAAGTTGATCGTTTCAGGTTAAAAAGGTACCTCTATGAAAAATCTCACTCTCATTACCACTCAAATGAAACTCTTAACGGAAGCAATTTCAAAAGCGTCCTACTGAAACACACATTGCTGTGAACTAGTTCAGTAAGCCTTCAGTTCTAGTTTCTCCAATCTGTCTTTTTAAAACCTTAGCAGTTTATTCTAGACACTAAGTATGGCCTGTTCCCAAAACACACCCATGAATACTTAACAGCCAGTCAGAATATCAAGAGCAGGAATAACAAGGACAAGAAGAAAAAAATAGGGAAAAATGCAGATTGGTAAGTAGTAAACAAAACAAATTCTATCAACATAATGGTAAGAATGTTGTATAAGAATAGCTTATAACATCAACTATTATAGCAGAGAATATTTGACATTCCAAACTCCATTCTTATGTAAGGAGAGGTCTAGCAGTTAACAACTGCATCTGGTTAACAGTTAAACAGCAAATAAAGAAGCAAAGTTTGGCCTGAGGGGAGAACCTCCATATAAGCACACTTGTTTCTGTTTAAACTGTATATCACAAGAATTGAATTTTATTCTAATAGTAATAATTAGAGAGAATTTATTCTTTAATCACAGCAAAAGGTTGGAAATAAGAACTCAAAAGAACTACCTAACCTAGGTAGAAGATTTGCTGGCGGGCCTCAAAAAGTCAGTACTATTCAAACTACCATAAGCAGATGTTAATTATTTCGACAAGCCTTTAGGATATGTGGTTATTATACAAGTTTTTTCTCCTCTTTGCCTTGCCTTGAGAACACAACATTATTTTAAAACCGGTTTAGATGTTGTATGTTTCCCTGAAGGAAAGGGTCACATCTGTCCATCAAACAGGTTGTGCTATCAGTGTCCATCGGTAAGGTAGACTCCGCTTCACACCACCCTCACCAACTCACATGACAGTAGAGGATCCCCAGTTCAACACAAGCTCTTCTCAGAGTTCACCACTGATTCTACACAGCTTTCCTCACTTTTGGTGTTTTGCTGGAGAGAATGAGCATTTATCATACATTGTGCAAAATACAGCGCAGAATGAGCTGGACCATGGATGCTACCAAGCAAAAGACACTGACATAGCCAGCCTGCATTATGAATGGCACCTAACCAGAACAGGATTTTGAAACAAGACAGCAAGATGCGATGGTCAGTAAGATACAAGCGAGTCTGGTAAAGACAATGAGAATTGCATCTCTTGGTTTGGTGCAAGGTGGCAACTACCATGAACTGCAAAAACCGGATTCCTAGAGAGTTCTTGGTGAGCTAAGTGATTCTAGCTCATATCTACCAACGATACAGGGATATGTAAGTGCCATTCTAGAAATGAAAGTCAGACTTCTAGATTAGAGGCTTCAGATCCTGGGCTGCATCAACAGAAGCGTGGCCAGCAGGTCGAAGGAGGTGATTCTGCCCCTCTACTCTGCTCTGGTGAGACCCCACCTGGAGTCCTGCGTCCGGCTCTGGAGCCCTCAGCATAAGAAAGACACGGACCTGTTGGAGCGGGTCCAGAGGAGGGTCACAAAAATGATCAGGGGGATGGAACACCTCTCCTCTGAAGAAAGGCTGAGAGCGTTGGGGTTGTTCAGCCTAGAGAAGAGAAGCCTTCGAGGAGACCTTATTGCAGCCTATCAGTACTTAAAGGAGGCTTATAAAAAAGATGGTGGCAAACTGTTGAGCAGGGCCTGTTACGACAGGACAAGGGGGAATGGCTTTAAACTAAAGGGGGGTAGATTTAGACTAGATAGAAGGAAGAAATTTTTTATGCTGAGGGTGGTGAAACACTGGCACAGGTTGCCCAGAGGGGTGGTGGATGCCCCATCCCTGGAAACATTCAACGTGGGGTTGGACAGGGCTCTGAGCAACCTGATCTAGTTGAAGATGTCCGTGCCCACAGCAGGGGGGTTGGACTAGATGACCAGGTCCCTTCCAACCCAAACTATTCTATGATTCCATGATTTAAAGCCTTAGTGGGAGTTTTGCCTTGACTAAGGGCTCCACCTTAATCAAAGTGAATCAGGTTGTTAGAAATAAAATAAAAAATCAGGAATTTGCATGAATACTTAAGCTAAGAGCAGGTAAAATACTAGAAAGAAATTATGAGCACACAAATTAAACTATTGCTACATCAGGTAGTAATGGTGCCCAATAAAAGTAGACTTATAGAGCAAAATGGTACGACGACCTGATGTCACAGCGCTTGCACCTAGGGAGGTTTCCTCCGGGCCGTATCTAGCCTGTTCCTATGGACTGAGCCTCTTAGCAGTTAGACTGCATCTTCCAAAAGTACACCACTTTTTAAATTTCATCTGAAAGGAATCCAGTTCGTACACTCCAACACCACTCTCTGATGTGAACCAAAGTGTGATAAGCAGGAAAAACAGTGAGATTCACTTCAGAAGTACACTCTCGATCTAAAGTAAAAATGCCAACGTATACATTATGCCAGTGACATAAGCAAAAGCACTAAACCAAAAGGATATCTTTCCTCAGTAAGGCTACGATAACAAATTACTAGAAAACTGACAGTAGCAAGAATACAGTCACAATCAGCATGACGCGGATATATTGTATACAACCTCATTATGTTCTTTCTTAATATGATAGACATTTTTCTAACATTTTAATGAAGTAGATTGAGTTTATTACTAATAAGGAGTGCTTTGGGTAGGAGAATATATTTTTCTGACTATCCTTGATAGCTTACTATGAGTGCAGCTTTTACTGTCTCAGATTCCATACACGCTCATCAGTTTGTCTTCTTTTCCAGGTATGTTCACCAGAGACAGTACGCCTTCCTACAAAGTTCTCACACTGCACAAGTACCTCACCAGAAGAGAAGCATTATTAAAGAAAACAACAAAGAAAATAATTCAAACCCATGTTAGTACCTACCCTGGTAAGCCGATTTCATTTCTCTTCTGACCATGACGATCAAAAATTTTCACAGCACGATCACCTCTAAAGAAGATTAACATACAGAATAATTCCCTTTCTTCACCAGTGCTTTCTATGAACAAACGCAATAAATATTTGTAATCTTACCCTGTTACAGCAAGGAAATTTCCCAAAGTTTTCTGCCAAGCAAACTGCACAGGGGAACCAGACCAAGCTTTTTCTAATAGACTGAATACTTGCTGGGAGACAAAAAAAAGTGGGAAATCACGTATCTCAAAATCATAAGCATATAACAATAAACAACTTCCCAACATGTTAGCAGCTGTGAGTACTGTGGAAGAAAAAAACCCCAAACCCTCAAACACAACTTCTGGGTGATTCTAATGCACCAAAGTACCACAATTCCACAGAAAAATCTTTTGGTCTGTGCTGGAAAAATTTAAGTTTCTGGTGCTGGGTGTCTGCATTGAGAACTACTGTGACTCTATAAAAACTTATTATTTTTTTTCTCTTACAGAATTACTGGAATAAAAATATTGCATGAGACTCCCCCCCCCGCCTTCATGTCGAAAGACCAGAATGTTTAGTTATCTAAATTTCATGGAAAAGTCTGGGACCAGAAAGCATCCTCAGTGTGTAAAACACAGAAGGCTCAACATCTACGCTCTTAAATTCTGTAACTATTTTGTCCTCTCTGAATTGTTGGGTCTCAAAGCTAAGACCTCAAAGCTACTCAACCGTAAAAAGAGATTCCAACTTCCAACTAAGAAAGTTTCTCAAATTCCTTTTCCTTGCACACTACCTGCACAGATTTTTCCTGTAACTTGGGCATAAGATAAAGCCCACAACTTTGTTTCACAGCTTACTATCGTAACTTTTTCCCTCCCATGTCATCACATAAACACCAACATCTGGTGTCCACCAAATGCCTGGCAGGCTTACTCAAGTGTTTGCCAAAGGTTTCCCATCCCTTCTTTTGGGTGAATGTAAACTGAGGCATTCTTCACATTGAATTTGCATTTTACTCACAAAAAGCGCAAAACTATGAGCACCACATACCACAAGCACAAAGAACATCTGACAATTATGTTTGATTTTGAAAAAAATTTAATAAAATCTGCAATAAACCAACGATGAAGAAAATCGTTGTGGGAGTGCAGGCAAGCTCCAGCTCTTCACGCTCCCACTGTGCAGCAACGCATAAACTAAAACGCCCTAAGGGGTTTGAGTAGGAGACTTTTCCTTTTGGCCCAACCATTTAACCGTCGCCCCAGGAGGGTTTCTCGCACCCCTCCCCGCTGCCAGGGTCAGCATTAAGGCACGGCGGCGGGAGACGTTACAGAGGAGGCGGGAGACCCGACGCCCGGCGGTCACGGCTTCGGGCGATGCGGCGGCTCAGGCAACTGTGGCGGGAAGAGCCAGCCTGGCCGGAGTCTGTGCCTCCCGAGGCCCGTTCCCGGGAGCCAGCGGCAGGGCGGGCGGCGGGAGCGGCCTTAGCTCCCCTGAGGAAGCCC